ATAATAATAATAATAATAATAATAATAATAATAATAATAATAATAATAATAATAATAATAATAATAACAACAACATTCATTTACTATTATTAAAAATAATATTAGTTATATAAATAATTTATAATAATTAGGAAATCGTGTTATTTTCCTTTATCTTATGATATCAAATTTATATGTTTCACTAATAATGTAAAATTCCAATTAATAATATATAGTAATAATATAATAGTAAAAAAATTATTATTAACATTATTATTATTTTGTATATTAAAATAAATTTTATTAATATTTACAATTATATTTTGTGGGTTTATTAAACTATAAATGTAAAATTTCATTGGTTTCAATTGTCTACTTGAATATTTATAAAAATCTCTTTCTTCTACATTACAATTTAAATTTAAATAATAAATTTAAAATTTAAAATTTAAAATTTAAATAATTAGTTAAAGGTTAAATTTAATATAATTCAAACTGTTTTAGAAAAATGTATCACAATAAAAATATTTTATTTATTTATATTTAAAAATGTACAAAATGAAATAAATATAAGTCCATTTCAAAAACTCTTTAATACCTTTAATTCATGAAAGTTATAAAATAAAAAATATTACTAGACTATTAATTTCGGAATATTACATGATAAATGAATTACAAGAATTTTTTTAAAATTTAATAAATATAATTTCATAGTTAAATATTTCAATTAAAAATTCAATTCATAGTTTATTATAGTACAAATTCATTTATTAAATCATTTTTGATTTATAGAAAAAACCACATATGTCAATCTATTAAGTTATTTTTATTACAATTTATTAGATTATTACATTCTAGATTTTATAAAAATCTACGTTTATATTTTTAATATTATAAAATTATTTATGTAAAATTTCATTAATTTCAATTATCTACTTAATTATTTTTAAAATTTAATAAATTTAGTTTATATTTTATTATTATTACTATAAATATTCAATTTATAATTTATTATAGTACAAATGTATTTATTAATTTTTTTTTTAATTTTATAACTTATGGAGGAAAAACACATAAGTTAAACTATTACATTTTTTGTTGTAGTTTATTAGATTATTACTACAAGATTTTGACACGATAAATAAATATATTGTGTAACTCATATTTTTAAATCAATTATATATTTTTTTAATTTCGTAACTCATATTCTTTCATTATTATTATCACTTATTTATTGTATTAATATAAAATTTATTTAATAATTTGATTAATCATTATTTGTTATTGTTCTTTCAATAATCATTGTGTATATAAATATGTGATATTGCATTATCATTGTGTTATACATATAAATTGTTGGTGGTACTCTTCAATTTTGTATAATGAAATTTTTAATTTTTATTGAATTATATTCCTTAACATTAGTTTTTGTTACAAACAGAGACTCAAATTATTATATTATAAATATTTAAATTCTCTTTTATATTGATATAATTTTTATTTGTCTACTATTCTAACTTTCTATCTAATTATCTTTTATTAGATGATTTGAATCAGGAGAAGATCATAAATTTGTGTTGCATCGTTGTTGTTTGTTTGGAAGTTCTATGAAATGATCGTTCATGTAGTCACATAAGTAAATGTCTTTAACTCTAATATATGCATCAAGAAAAATCATATTTTATTAATATATTTTTTGTTAGCTTCTTATTTTATGGGTGTAATATTTCAATTTGACAGAAATGTAAGTGTTATAATGATTTCTCAAATTTTTGTGAGGTCATTATAGGCCTTTTTTTCTCTTTTTTATCTTATAGACCACATCAACTTGACTTCTTCTATAAAAGAATCCCTTTGATTGTTTCATTTGCCATGACTATCAATAAAAGTTAAGAGCAATCACTTAAATATGTCGGAGTATATCTACCACAACTAATTTTCTCTCATAGACAACTATATGTTGCCTTATCAAGAGTAATTTCAAAGAAAGGGTTGAAAATATTGGTGACTAATGATGAATGTGAAGATATAGATACAACATCATGAGAGAAAATAAATAAGTATTTAATAATATTTTTTAGTTAATTAATATTTCTTTCTTTAAATTTATACATTTTAAATTATTATAGTAAAATTTATTCTAATTTATTGTCTTTCACATTAAAAAATTAATAATATAATTACAAACATAACCTAAATGGTCTATCAAATAATTTTATATAAAAATAAAAAATTAAATATCAACTATTATAAAAAATATAGATTTATTTTTAATATACTCGTGCGAAGCACGAGTGAAGGATCTAATTATTATAAATTATGAGATTTATATGTCAGAAATATTCATTGTCTTAGGGGTAATCGCATAAAATGTAACTTAAAAGTCTTTGGTTTGATTCCTTGTAGAAATAAATTTTTATTATTTTTCATATTTTTTAATTTTAAACTGTGACTGAACTACTACATTGCCACATTAGATATTATTTTATATTCAATAATTTTTGTAAGAGACCAAAATAAATCTCTACTCTATTTATTTAGGTTAATTTTGATTTATGTATGTATTTACACACATGTAACTTTGAAAAATATAAACAAAGATTTCTCTTGGATTGCAATCAAATTTCAGTTTGATTCCTAAAATCAATACAAGGCCCGTTTATTCTTCCTTTAATTTTTTTTTTATATTTTAAAAAAAATTATGAAAACATTTTTTCAAATATTTATTTTTTTATTAATTATGAATTAAAAAATTAATTTTGCCATCTAATAACATAAATGTACATTATTAAATATTAAAATATAACTATATTACATAATTAAAAAAAAGTATATCTTAAAAATGATTTTTATAAAAAAGCTATTTAAAATTTCTTCAAACTTAATTGATATTTTAGAATTTTTAATATCCAAAAAAATGTTATGGTGAAAGGATGATATATCTAAAATAATATTTTAATAAAAAAAAGATTCAAATCTATTTTTCATTTGAGATTTTAAAAAAATTCTTTGTAATTTTTTTAAATAAAAATATATAATATTATAAATATTCCAATGATCATCACTTTATATTCAACTCAGAAAAATTAGATAGATACAAAAATAGAAGACAGGAAGACAACAAACTACAAACTGCGCCGCTACTCCTTTTTTATCGCAAAATCAATCATCTTAAAAATGACATCCATAGATCTAAGAGATACAACATTGCTATTCATAAACATTTGAACTCTCTAAATATTTTTTTTAGAGCTATTAAATCATAAAAGGCCAATTTTTTAGGTTTACAGATTTTCAATTTACTCTTTATTTATTTATTTTAACTTTTACTTTGAATTAAATTGATTAACAAAATAAACCCTCTTAATTCTAATTAGAAAAGAACTTGAATAATCAATTGAATAATATTACAAAATACATAATGCTAGATGAGAATTTATTAGATAAAATTAAAGGAATAAGTAAAAGAGATAAACCATGGTCCATAACATTGACAGCAATCATGGTTACTGAGATGTTTTGTGTCTCTCATCTTCATTGAGTGGAATATCTTGAAATTTGGACACAGAGATTGTAGACACATTTCCATGATTAGGATTAGTAGCTAGATGTTTGAGCAACATTTCCCTATCAAATGAAACATCATTCCTATATTTGTACCATTTTGCACAAAAGATATAGACAACAAAGTTAATCATACTAAGTATAGCCAAAAACCAATAGAATAGCTCAACATGGTTTTGGTTCAAGTCTCTTCCTTCTAGCCACCCTTTTTTATTCTTTGTAATCCTACTTGTCACTGAGTTTATGAGCTCAACAAAAACTGTGCTCAAGTAGTAACCAATTGATAATGAAAGAAACGAGAAAGAGGCCGAAAGCGATCGCATTCCTTGAGGCGCTTCTTTGTAGAAAAACTCTAATAGTCCAACCAATGTGAACATATCAGCAATACCGAAGATTGCGTAATGGAAAGAAAGCCAGAAGAGGCTAATTTTGGTATTGTGATCATTGAAATAGTGTTTTCGTTTAACTTCTACTAACCCTGCTATGATCATTGAGATTGCTGATAAAACTAGTCCAACACCAACTCTTTGTAGTTCTGTTATTCCATTTGGGTGACCGGTGAATTTGCGAACTATTGGTACAAATGCGAATTCGTAAATTGGTATCAAAAGGGTCATGAATACTAGAGGGATCCCAGGTATTGATGCAGCTGGAATGTTGAAAGTGCCAATGAATGTGTTCATGAAGGTTCCTTGTTGGACTGAGAAGGTTTGAAGTTGGGCTAAACATGTGTTCATGATGATTGTACTTAGAAGTATAGGCATCATTCTTGTTAGAATCTTTACTTCTTCTACTTGTGTCACTGTGCATACTTTCCATTTTATTGCTTCTTTGGCTTCAGGTAGAATGGCAGCTTTGTCTAGAACCCTGTTTGTGCACAAAATTACATGTATAAGAGATAAGAGATGTATATGATTGAATTGTATATCAGGTCGTCTTTGAGAGCGTGCAAGACTGACAACCGCACATAGTCCAAAATTTATCACTGTTTAACTGTAACTAAATAGGGCTCAAAATATTTGTCACAGTTAAACTGTGAATAGGACTTTTAATTATTTTGTCATGATTGAATCATAGCTAACTTACACAGAATCTTCAAAAACATAAGACGGCTTTGTAAACTATATTGGTATGCTAATAGTATACTATTGAGTTTAAAGGAAATCATAGAAATAACTTCAATTAGTCCAACCTGAGTTGTGCAGTGTGAGGGATGAGTTTCTTCTTCAAAGTAGACTTATGGCTCTCTATTTCATACAACTTTTCAGAATTATCAGGCACTTTCACCTTCCAATTCTTGACTGCCACAACCAGCACCTGCAAAAACAATTGCAAATAAATAGTAATTTGAAGTACTTACATAGACACGAACACATGACACGACAATGGTACTCGCTCTTAAACTTATGGAGGTGAAGGAAGAAAATGATACCTGTAAAATACTTAACAATGGACTTTCTCCCGGAATTCGAATACGGTAGAAACTCTTTCCGGCGACAATGCAAACAATGGCAGCAGAAGAACATGAGAGTGATATAAGAAAACCTTTATACCAATCGAATTCTGTGCTAACATAAACAACAAAGGTAACACCTAAACTAGCTCCAATTGTAATACTAAACAGAAACCAATTGAAGAAGCTAGCAAGTTGGACGCGTTCTTTGGGATTCTTATCATCAAATTAATCACCTCCTAAAGCAGGCACACAACCTCTGATTCCACCACCACCAAGTGCGAGCAAGTATATCGAAGCATAAAAGAACCAAACTTTACTACCATGCAAACAACTCTCTTCTCCACATAGTTCTGGTTGAAGTTTCTCGTTGCGTGATTGAATCACAAGCAAGGCATATCCCTATAAATCAATAACACAAACACCATGCATGCAAAAATTAAGCTATACCAAATTCTGAACCTTCATCAAGTTTTCAATTAACATTAAAATTCTTTACCAATAACTGAATAATTCCGAAGAGAATGCAAGTGTTGAGACGATTCATATATGTATCGGAGATGAATCCTCCAACAACTGTAAGCAAGAAAGTAGTTCCTAAAAAGTTTGTGGTAGTGGTTGAAGATCCAGAGGAGTCAAAATGCATCACAAACAAGAAGTATAACACCAAACTTGCCATATTTGCCACAAATCCTATGTTGTCAAGTAACACCATTCCTGCAACAATTAAACATGAATTTCCCATTGTTAAATTCCATTTATTTCAAAAACACATTAGAAGAATTGGGCTGAACAGAGCCGTCTTAAATTTTTAGAGATTCTATCTAAGATAATCATAATTTAACCATAACAATCTAACAAAAGCCTTGTTTAATTATAATTTAAATGTAATAAATATTTTATAACGGTTTAATTATGACAAATATTTTATAAAACTCTTTTATACAAGAGTTTAACAATTTAACTATGACAAATTTATTTTTGATCATATACGACAGTCCGTCTTACATATCTTCAAATATTTCAAATATTAGACAGTTTGATGAACTTATATATATAATTTATTTACCAAAGATGAAATAAGTAGCTCTGTATCCTCCTTGTTTTTGATAATTCACTTCTTGATATTCAACATCTTTAACCTTGGAATCATCTTTGGAATCCTATATTTTAAAATCAACAAATTATAAGTATATAGTTAAAAAAAGAAAAGAAAGATATAGCCAAGAAATAATAATGAGGCATAAAGTTATGAAGTATTTTAGCACCATGGGTGAGAAAGGTAATAACTTGTCTCAAGATAGAAAGAAAAGATATGTAAATTTTTGGGTAATGTTTAAGAAAAATGTAGTCTATTATATAATGAAGCATGCAATGCATTGCGACTCTAGTGCATCTATTGATCGGCTGGTTCATGATTTTCTAAGCCAATAACCGGCGGAAAATAAAAACATTAGAACTATCCACTTTTTTAGTAAATATTGAAATAATGACACTGAATAAAATTTAATTTCATGACTTTTTCTTACTTATAACTTATCTTTAAGAATAGAAAATTTAGATGACTTTTTGTTTTGGACTGAGCTTATATTTTCCTCCATCGTTGAGCAGGTCCAATCCAACGTTTTTGTTATGGTTTAATGATCTATGGCCCAAGTCATCAACCGTTGGGAATTTCTCCACGCGCCCACCAAGGAGACGTAGCCAACGCTACCATCATCCTGCCCATCGAGAATAACGGGTCCTTGATTCCCCGCAGTTGATCAGGGAGTGGACCACTTATTGGTCTGCACTACGCACGTAACCCTGACAGTCTTCGTTATTGGGCCTAACTATCTGGCCCAATACGTAGATCTTGGCCCAACGTTGGGGGCTATAAATACTTTCACATGAGAGGGTCAAATATTCATTCACTCTCACTCTTTGTACTTGCACTATGATTGTCTCTATTCTCACTTTGGCATCAGAGTACCTTACAGGTACACCTCCCTTCACTTTACTTTCAACTGTCGTTCAACTCAGGCTCGTGGGTCATCGACGATCCCTTCTGGTCAAGTATGATTAGTGGCGCCGTCTGTGGGAATCTAGCTTCCCTGTCTTTTCTCAACTCAAAGACTAAAGCAACTTTCAACCTTCTGATCATCATGGCCGACCAAATCAACAATGGTGACGAGAACGGGAACTTCGCTGACATTGGCAACAACAACAACAATATTGGCCATCACGAACACAACATCAGGGACAGAAGAACTGCTTCTTCCTCCACCCGTCCGCATCCGCTCAACAATCCTCACCTGCGCGTCGACGTACCCGCGGTGTACCAAGGAATTCCGGTGCCCGCCAATGTTGATCCTGCAACCCAGGCCCCGTTCACAGCGATCAACCAAACCAATTACATGATCTTATCGCAGGGTGAATGTCTGACAATATTAGAGAGGACCTGTCGCTCCCCCAGAAGGCACAAAAGGCCCAACTCACGTACCCCGTCTCCACGACAACGTGAGGCCTGTTCACGATCTCCTCTGCAGAGACACCAATGGGAGGATTGTCGCACTCCTCTCCTCGTTGTACTGGGCGAGGCCCTCGACTGGAGAGGACCTAACCTGAGATTGTCAAGAAGCATGACCGCACGCGTCCGCACAAGGAACGATGGTCCCCTTTTCCTCATAGGAACAAGGATAAAAATCACTCTGATGAGACTAGGCCTCGGGCAAGAGACTCTCACCGAAGAGGCCCATGTTTCGATTCTTCCCTATCCCGCTCTCCAGACAGAAACGATGAAGACGACTCCTGCAGTCCCCTATCCCGAGCGATTATGGAGGCCCCTATTCCTAAAGCGATGGAGAAGCCTCCACCTTTGAACAACTATGATTGCACTAAAGATCCCGACGACCACCTCGAGGGCTTCTAGGAAATGCTCCACTTCCACAACGTCGGGGGGCTCCATCAAGTGCAGGTTGTTCCCCATAAATTTGAGGAAAACTGTGTTGAACTAGTATAAAAGCCTCTCCCCCGAGTTCATCACGTCGTGGAGGATTCTAAAAACCCAGTTCACCGCAGCTTCACAACCTCACGAAGATACCCAAAGACTTAGGCGTTCCTTGAGGCCATCATTTAGGGGAGCAACAGATCCCTATGAAACTATATTGAGTGGTTTAATCGTGAGGCCATCCAAGTCCACACAACCGACTGCATGAAGATGTACCTGCTCGAGAGAGGACTCTGCTAGGGTAGCGATTTTTGAAAGGTAGTTGGCATTGAGATCCCTAGATCGTTGGAGGAACTTCTCCCAAAAGCCCGGTCTTATATTACGTACGAGGAGAAAGAAGCTTCCAATAGTGTTCACGATCCCAGAAACCGCAAAGGACCTAACTCTTCAAGGCACAATGATGTTAGGCCATCTCGACGAGCAGGGGACAAGAGAAGGGACGAGAAACCTCGTGACTCCTACGAGCACAAAGGCCCAGTTGGGCGCTTCACTGAGTACACCCCGTTGAGCGCTTCCCACGAGCGTATCCTTGCGGAATATGCCAACACTGAGTTCAAGGACGGTGGGGTACGACGACCCAAACCTATAACTCCCAAGCTCGGGGTCGATAGGACCAAGTACTGCTAGTACCATAGAAGTCATAGCCACGTCACTGAAGAATGCGTCCACCTGAAGGACACCATTGAGACTCTCATTAAGGCAGGGAAACTAGGGAAGTACAAAAGGGACGATGCCCCTCGCTGCGATAATCGCAGGGTGAAATAGATCGGGGAGGAGGCACGAACCTCTGACCAGAATGGCCCCTCCAAGTTTCTATGAGCATCTCACGACCTGAGGATTTTTATATCCTCGACAACGTCGGCGAAGAAGAGCCCTTATTCCCCCACAACAGATTGGAAAATTTTCCCTCCGCCATGGTCATATTCGGCAGGGGATTCAGAGGCTTTTCCGTGAACTCCACGAAAAGAAAGTTCAACGAGATGATAGATGCAAACCCATTCCAGACTGTGACCCTTGATAGGTTCAAGGGAAAATCCGATCAAATCACCTTCTATCTCGAGGAATTGCCCGATGGAGCTCCCAACTAAAACATCCCTTTACTCGTGAGAGCAAAGATGGCCAACTTCGACGTGCATCGCATCCTGTTCGACAAGGGGAGTTCCGTCGATGTCATGTACACCCAGTTGTTCTAGACTCTCCAGCTCGAAAAGTCCCACCTATCACCGTACGTGGGGTCCGACCTACAAGGCTTCAATGACTCAACCTTCAAGCCATGGGGTTATGTCGAGCTGCTCGTCACGTTCGGAATAGAAACTGCTACCAGGCAGGTCAAATTCTGTTTCCTAGTGATCGACTGCCCGTCTCTCTACAATTGACACCTGGGGAGACCAACACTGGATGAGATGAATGTTGTACCTTCCATGTTGCACTTGAAGATGAAGTTCTACACCAAGAGGGGTCGCGTCACCACCATCCACTGAGACATCGAAGTTGCCAGAATATGTTTTAATGTGGCCTCCAAGGGACAGAACATGGTCATCACTAAGCCACGAGTTTCCAATGGAGCAACCTCCTCAACAGCAGCGACTTCTTTGGCAGACAAGCCCGCTGAAGCTGAATAACGAGAGGCTCCACCCAATGTAAGCTCCATCGACATCGACACCCGCTTCACCAAAGATGAAGAAGGAGTCTCAAATGGCTAATAGGATCCTCTTCGTCCTATCCCCAGCGTATACTTCGAAATCATCCCCCTCGGCAACGACCCAAACAAAGGCGTGAAGATTGGAGCCAGACTCCCCGATTTGGCGAAGAAGCATCTCGAGGCCTGCTTGAGGATGAACGGCGATTTGTTCGCTTGGAGTGCTACGGAAATTTTCAGACTCGACCATGAGGTCTCCTGCCACCAGCTCGCTATAGATCCTGCCGCTAGGATAGTAGTTCAACATAGGCGTAGGCAGTCTCCCGAGAAAGCGGAGGCTGCTGAAAAAGCTGTAAAAGACCTCCTAGAGAAAAAATTTATTTCTGAGGAACGATATTCAATCTGGCTCTCCAATGTTGTACTTGTTAAGAAAAATAATGGAAAATGGCGTATGTGTGTTGATTATACTGATCTCAACCGAGCATGTCCTAAAGATGCATATCCTTTACCTAATATTGACATGTTGGTCGACAAATCGGCCGACTATAAACTCTTATCATTTATGGACACATATGCAGGCTATAATCAAATTCTCATGGTGATGAGCAACAAAAAAGGCACGACTTTCATGACCGGGTTGGCCAATTATTACTACAATATAATGCCCTTTAGACTGAAAAAACGCGGGCGCAACATACATACGAATGATGAACAAAGTATTCCATGGTGAGATCAGAGACATGCTTAAGGTGTACATAAATGACATGATCATCAAGTCTCGAGCAGAGACCGATCATGTGGCCCACCTAAAAATATTCTTCGATCGAGCAAGGCAATGCAGGATGAGATTTAACCCGGAGAAATTCACCTTTGCGGTTAAGGCGGGAAAGTTTCTTGGCTTTTACTTGACAGAAGGAGGGATCAAAGCCAACCCTGACAAATGAAGGGCATTCTCCGAGCTCCCTATGCCAAAATAAAAAAATCCATAGAAATCTTAAACTATGTGCTCACCTCGCTCTCCTACTTCGTGGAAAAATCCGCGCAACATGCACTCCCATTTTTCAAACTCTTGCGCAAATAAGTTTTGTTTGAATGGACCGAGGAGTGCGAACAGGCCGTCCTCCACCTCAAACGAGATCTTCCACAACCATCCGTACTCTCACGACCAGATAACAGGGAAACTTTGTTCCTTTACCTGGATGTCTTAGTCGAGGCTGTAAGTACGACTCTCGTCCGCGAGACACCGGACGGGCAGAAACCAATATACTTCACCAGCAAAGCACTGTAGGGCCCCGAGGTCAGGTATCAACAGATCCGAAAAATAGACTTAACCCTCATTAATCCTGCGAGGAGACTCATATATTACTTCCTAGCCCACACGACCGTTGTACGAACCGATAAATCTGTAAGGCAACTTCTAGGACGACCAGACATGGCCGGTCGAATTCTGAAATGGTCCCTAGAGATTTCGGAGTTCGACATCCAGTACGAATGCAAGAAAGCTCTCAAAGCCTAATAATTTTCTGACTTTGTTGAAGAGATGACCATCCACGAACCCCTTATAGGCGGGGACCGCAAGTGGACAATCTTTATGGAAGGAGCGTCCAGCTCGATAGGAAGCGGAGCAGGCATCCTCCTCGATA